CCGAAGCAAATACAAGAGCAAGCCTCCTGCAAGGGTAAGGCCCTGGGGACAGAGTTCAAGGACTCCTGTCCCCGAAGCAAACACAAGAGCAAGCCTCTTGATTGGGCAAGCAGCCCCGAAGACAAGTAAAAAAAAAAAAAAAGAAAGAGAACATTACTGTACACAGAAAAAGGAAGGAAATACTCTTTATTTCAAGAAATAGGGGCTTTGCGTCCCCAAAGGCTACAAAAGAAAATAAAAAGGGTACAATCAAAAAGGAAGAGACTTTCATCTGGCTCCAGGCATCTCCAGAACATCAGCCGAGGGCGAGTCGGCAAAGAATGGTTGAGAAGCTTCTGGAGCAGGCAGGACAGGTACCTCGGCAACAGGGAGACTTTGGGCATTTTGAGGATCAGGGGCATGGTCCGACGGGGCGTCCTCGGACAGATCCACTATCACCGGCTCGGGCGGATCCGCCGAGACTTGCACTGGTGTTGGAACCTCATCCTCGGCAGCGACCTCTGCTTCGGCCCGTGCCATCTCTGCCGAGGGCACATACTTGTGCATTTGGAAGAGCGGGGAGTCTGAGGGGATTCCAGCAGACTGGAGCGCCTCGTCCCACCCTTTCTTGAAGAACTCCTTGCTGTTTTCTTCAAGAGCAGGGAGCACGTCATCGGCGAACTCTTCCCGCAGTTGCTCCTCCGATTTTCTGTTCAGCTCCTCGGCCCTGATCCTGTCCAGCTCCTGGGTGAGAGCCAGACAGCTTTCCTCTGAGCCTACGGCCCTCTCCTCCGCAGCAGAAAACCGCTGCGTTTGCTCGGTAATCCTCCTCTCAGCATCGGCAAGGGCAGCACTTAGTTTTTCAGCGCCAACCTTGGCCGATTCGGCGTCCTTGAGGAGTTGCTCGATTTGAGCAGCCTGCCCCGCCAGGGTAGAATCCCTGGCAGCTACATCCTCCATTGCCCGGGCGAGGGCCGCTTCCGCCTCCTCCTTCTGATCTCGGGCCCTCTGGAGGTCCATCCTAGACCCGTGGTACCGAGCAGCAATGATGGAGATCTGCTGGGTAGCCTGCAAAGGAAGGAAAAAGTGTTAATCACAAAAATGGAAAGCAAGAGTGAAGGAACCAAAGCAAAAATAAACTCACCACCAGGGAATTCTGGATGATGGAGCGGAACAACACGTTGGTTGATCGCCCCCTATGAGCCGCCATGTCAGCCTCGAAATGCAGTGTCTCACTCACTGCATTGGCGACATGAGGATCCAGCAGAATGGAATCGTCGACCCTGATCACTCGGTTCATGTGATCAGTGGCTCGGGGATTCCACTCCGCGGCCTCCACTGTAGGCGGAAGGGGAGGAGGAGTCTGTTGCTGTTGTTGTTGCTGTTGTCGGGGCTGCTGCTGCTGCTGCTGTTGTGGAGGAGCAGGGGGTAATCCACGGCCCCTCCCGCTTTGCTGCTGAGCGGGAGGTGCCCTGGATCCTCGGCCAAGGCCATCATGCCGATGTTTGACCCTTCTCTCCTCCTCCACCTGAGGGTCCCGGTCTCGCACCTGACCCCGACCAAGGACCCTTGATGATGGGGTGGAACTGGTCCCTGCAGAGGGGGTGCCGCCGGTCGTTCCTCGACCCCTCCCGGCTGCGAGAGCTTGCCTCTGCCTGAGGAACCCCAAATCAATGCGAGGGGTGCTGGACATTGCTGCCTCGAAGGCGTCCTCGGCGTCTAAGGATTGAAAACTTGGAAGTCTGGCCACAAGTCTCCTCCCGAAGTCCCCACCTCGGCGTCTGAAGGAACAACGTCCTCTCTGACCCCGAGCTCTTCAGCAACTCCCTCGACCTCTGCCTCTGAAGCCCGATCCGAGTCTTCCTCCAAATTTTCCTCAACCTCTAGCCTCGCCGTCTGATCGAAGAGTTCAGACCACTGCGAAGGCTCAAAAGGCTGCGGAAGCTGTGAAAATTTCTTATACCCGAGGGTATAATTCAGCAGGATGTGAGCAGCACGGCCAAACCCGTTGTCACCCGTGAATCTCCAAACCGTGATTAGGTCGGCAAAGTTCACCAGCGACCGAGGGAGAGGAGCTGTTTCCCGAGCAGGAATATCTGCACACACAAAATAGTCATGAGTACGGGAAGTCTGGAGAAAGAAATAATAAACTCAAAGGAACCGACGTACTTGTCGTTCTCCATTCCAGAGGGCGCAAAAACCGAAATGGCGCATTTAATGCGCACGACATCCCAAGCCGGGGAAAGCGGCTCGAGGCCATGATGAAGGACAGGTGGTAGTTGGGAAACCCTTCGTCTCCTTACGACGCGTGTCCTCGGTGTCAGAAGATCGAAGGCTGGGGGGCAGTTGATGGGACTTTTCTGAAATACCCTATGATGAAGACACGTGTCCTCGGTTTACTAAAACACTGTTGCTAGGATCAAGCACCATCGACGCACGAATGTCCTCGCCCCCGAGGTACCGTCATATAGGATCATACATTCAGTATATTTTACAACCGACACGTGTCCTCGGTCGGATATGTACCTCGGTCGGCATACCTCCCTCGGTCTCCGAGATGAGCCTTTCCTCAGTGCCGAGAGTTACCCCGTCCTGGACCCTTCCTCTACTCCAGGATAAGCTATTGACGTGCAGGTCATTAACCTAGGTTAGTCTAGGCTATTCATCATGACCTCGTCTTACACAAGTAATGTCAGAACGTACTGGAATACAGAGGTCACAGCCAATAGGGGATGGACGCGTGGCATATGATATCACATCAGAGACAGACAAACCGCATGTCGTTGCTGACACGCGACTTAGGAAAGCAAACAATTAATTGCACCATTCCCTTGAAGAGACCGCATTCAATGCGGTAAGGCTCGGAAATGAAAGACAATAAATGCTCCTATTACAGAGCATTTATTGCATCCTCCCCGAGAGGAGCACATTGTACCCGTCGGCATCCTGACGACCCAGCATTGATTGCTCGGGACCCCGAGCAGTTAATTAGAGAAGACATTCCTCATCAGAATCAATGCACACGCTACCTGAGCCTAATGATCACCTACTGACGACACTGACAGCAATCATGAGCTTTTAAGGTATAAATACTCCTTGCAAAAGGCAAAGCGGGTATGCAACAACAAACTCTCTACTACAATACACTCACAGCGTTTTCTCTATCCTCTCTTTCTCTCTCAAAGACTGACTAGATCGTCGGAGGGGATACGCCGGAAAACACTCCGGCGCCCTTCTAACTTGTTCTTCTTTATTTCAGGAACCTCTTCCAGCCTTACAGGACCGTCACTCCTTTCCCAGGGTCTCCCGTTGCCGTTCCAGGTTACCACCGTACCGTGCAGGTTGTCCCAAGCAGCGTGTTAGGTCACTCCACCGGCTCACCCGAGTTCACCAGGGGAGAGATCTGTTCAACTTTTTTATATTGTGAAGGATCTTGCACGCACATAAACGATCACAAAAATATTGACACAATTCTGAGTTTCGTTGAATTGAATAATTGTATCTTTGAAATAGTTTTGTGTACCTCGTTAAGAAGTACAGATTCTCTATTATAAGATAGTGGTAATCACACAATCCTTCATCATAGACGATATAGACTAATGGGCCAAGTCCAAGGACTCAACTCCAATAGGTCCAATTAGTCAAGCCCAAAAGAGTCTGCACCCGATCAAGTTCATCAGGTTTTACGAGTTACATCAATAGAGGAGCATGCAAGGTCATCCAATAGCCTGCTCCTCTACCACCTTAGAGTAAGGTATATCATAGTCACATTAGAGTAAGAAGGTTCATCCTAGCCACCTTGGAGTCAGGCTTATCAGGAGGCTACGCCACGTCATCAAGAGAGCATCAAGAGCCTTATCCTCTTCCCTTTGGAAAGAGTCAACATTCATGTCATCATTTGACCGAATCCCATGGAGAGCACCACAACTGCCTAACCCGTTGAAAAGAAGTCGTGAGCTCCACTAGAATAGTTATGTAGTTGCTAATATCTCGCCCAAATTTGTTAGGAGGGCGACTAAAAATTGCACGCCCCACCAACACCTGGGGGGCATCACACTTGACCACGACTCTCTCTTCTCCCTCAAAGCTTGTACTCTCTGCTCCCCACACCCTTGAGCTAATAAAAGTACCTGCCGACCAAAGTCATTCAAGAGTGGATGTAGGTCACGTTGACCGAACCACTATAAATCTTGTCTCCTCCAATTCTCTATTTACTTTTACTGCATTTATTATTTACATTTAACATGTGGTATGCAAAGCCATTTTGTGCCTCATCATAGATGATTTTGATTTCAAAATTTGTTAATTTTTCTCAATTTTAAACACCGAAAGAGATAGGTTATAGTCATTAAATCATAACTAGTTCAATAATATGTGAGTTTGGGTTCCATAGGAAAGGATATTTTTTTTAGATATTCAATTTAGTCTAATCTTGTTATCCAAACACACCTTTAGAAGTGGTACAGTCGTCAAATCTGTTCTCTTGTAAAAAAGAGGTCTCAAGTTTGATACTTCTCATATTCTCAAATGGTTAATCACCTTTGTTCCTCAAGAGACATGTCCTTAATCTAACTCAAACAACGGTAAACATAATCCTGAATACCTTCTGGCAAAAAAAATAAAAAATTTCACTCCTTAAAGTCACATGTGAGTCCTACGCGTCCCACTGCACTCAATGGGCCTCAATAAAATAAATGGTGCAGATGACTAAATTGACTCAGATCAAAATAGAGCAAATTTATATCTCATCTCATTAGAAAATGGGTGTCGGATACATGAGAGCAAAACTTACAAATATATCAAACAAAAAAAAAATTTAAAAAAGAAAGCTAAAGAGGGAATAATTAATTAAATCTTGCCTTTATTCTTGTCGAATTTTGCATAGATTATTGTTAAGTCTTGGGACTCTTGGCCCTCTTTGGCTTTGTACTATGTGACCACTTTGTCTGTTTACTTCACTCCTCAGAAGACTTTTTTTTTAGTTGATTATCAATATTTTTTTGCCAACTGAAGGTTAAGCGATGGGACAGTTTTGGCAAATCTTTTAAAAAACCCATTGAAGAACTTCTGTGGGGGCCATTATGCTAAAACTTAAAACTTTTTCCAATTTTTTTTTTTTTGCACACTTGATAGGATTCACACAATCCTCAATTCGATAACTCAGAAATCGACGAAAAATTAGCGGGAGATTTTACCCTAATAATGTCTGCAATGTATAAAACAACAATTGTTCTCAAGGGATGTTTTTACGCTAAAAACGTCAATAGAAATAACGTTTGTAATGTATAAAACGATAATTGGCCTGACGTCTTGTGTATCATTTACGCTGAAAATGTCAGTTGTACTTACGTTTTTAACGTTTTATGTATGCCCTTTTCACTTTTTTATTTTTCTTCTTCCCCCCAATTATGTCTGAGCCCTATATCGAATTCCCAACACCTTCAGGCGACAAATCTCCACCACCACCACCATCAGAAATCAGACCACCACCGAGAAAAACCACCAGCATCTGAAGCTTTCTCCACCATCCTTGAATTTGAAACCCACCTCCACCAGAATCTTCATCCAAGTCCACCAGCCTCAAGTGAAATCTCCACCACCAGCACCATCAGAAATCCCCTCCACCACCTGGGAAAACCACCATCAACTGAAACCCACCTCCACCACCCTTTATCTGAATTCCATCTCCACTTGCGTCATTCAGCGAAATCTCCACCACAATTACCATCCGAAATCAACTCCACCACCATCTGAAACCCACCTCCACCACCCTTCATCTGAAAGCCCCAACCAGTAGGATCCACACCATCGGAGCTGTTGCTCTTCCACCACTATCTCCAGCACAACAACATTGAGGACCACCATTTGACTGTATGTCTCTCACTCTCAATCTATTTATGTAGCAATTTGTGCATTTAGTTGTTGTTTTTGTGGTAAATTAATTGTTGTATTAGGTATAATTGTAATGTTATTTCAATTTGTGATGATAAATTAAAATTAAAATTAAATTAAATTCTAATTGTTTTATTAGTCATAATTCTATTTTAATTCTTAATTTAAATTTAATTTAATGTAATAATCACTTAGATTTGCGTATTTAGTTGTTGTTTTTGTTGTAAATTAATTGTTGTATTAGGTATAATTGTAATGCTATTTCAAGTTTGATGATAAATTAAATTTAAATTTAATTCTAACTGTTTTATTAGTTCTAATTCTATGTTAATTCTAATTTTAAATTTAATTTAATGAAATAATCACTTAGATTTGTGTATTTAATTGTTGTTTTAGTTGTAAATTAATTGTTGTATTAGTTCTAATTGTAATGTTATTTCAAGTTTGATGATATACTAAATTTAAATTTAATTCTAATTGTTGTATTAGTTCTAATTCTATGTTTATTCTAAATTTAAATTTTATTTAATCTAATAATCACTTATATTTGTGTATTTAATTGTTGTTTTAGTTGTAAATGAATTGTTGTATTAGTTCTAATTCTAATGTTATTTCAAGTTTGATGATATTCTACATTTAAATTTAATTCTAATAGTTGTATTAGGTCAAATTCTATGGTAATTCTAAATTTAAATGTAATTTAATCTAATAATCACTTAGATTATGTATTTACTTGTACATAATTATCTAGCAATAACCCTTGCCTGAGTTTTGGGATTATAATTGAATCAAATATTAATATGTTTATTTTTTTTTGTAAAAAATGATATAATAAATTTATATTTAGATAATTAATCAAAAAATAATTTTATTCTCAACTCATCTACTTCTAATGCTTTGTTTGTTGCTTGAAAAATTTTTTAGTTGGTAATTAATCAAAACATTTTCTGTGTTTTTCAACTTTTGCTAAGAACTCATTCATTTTGTTGTAATTTAACTTTTTTACGAAGTTGAATTTTTAATTTAAAAGAATATAATAATAATTAAGATTACCTTTAAATAAAAATTGCATAACCTAAATTTTTTATAAATTGTTTGAGAACTTGTGCATTGTTTTGTGTTAACTTTATTGCTTCAATCTTACTTCTGTTAAGTACTCATTCATTCCTTCCTCGTTAAGTCCTTTCTACTTCAACATCGGTACGAAACTGAAATTTTAATTTAAAAAAATATAATAATTCATATCGAGTATATTCCATGTCTCTCTCACTCTCAATCGAAGCAGTGTAGTTATGTCTCTTAGTCATCAAGCAACACATTTTTCCTCAAAGTAAGCATGTTGATTAATGCGATAGAGTTACTCAAGTATTGTCATCCTTGAGTTGGATAGTCTTAATAATTGCGATAGACTTGTAAATGTAAGTCAATTACTAACTTGTTAGCCAAAACATTGGCTACATTGTTTGCCTTCCTGATAACATGTTTTACTTGTGATTGCATTCTTGATAACATGTTAAGAGATACCCTTTTTTGGGGATTATTTTTTCAAACATCCATATAATTGTTGGATCTCCATTTTTCTTAGTTTCCTACCTGTGCACTTCAACCTCGTAGGTTTCTTATTTTATCAATTCTTCTAGTTCGCATGCAGTAAATTCACATGGGACTTTGACTAAATATTGGTATGTTTTTCCTCAAATATTAACATTTTCTATCCATCTCCAGATTCTTGTGAATTTAGTACTTATTCCACAACAAAAATTGTTTGAAATGACGGAAAAATAAGTTATCATTTTGTTGTATTAGGGTGGACACATGGAATATGCATCAGAGGGTTTATCATATGATTGTGCTCCCAAAGGTGAAATTGTTATTAATAGTAGCAAAAAACTGTTGGAGTTGTTGAGTAAAATGTACACTGTAATGTGGTTGAACAGGTCGCATAACAAGTTAAAGTTGACATTAGATATCCATTTAAACTTGGAGCAAGACCAAACATGTATACATATGTTGGTTTGGAAATTATTAATGATGAACTTGTGACTTCTTTGGTTAATATGGTACTTGACAACCCTAGCATTGCTAGTGTTACTTTGTACATGGATATGGAGGACATCTATGTTAGCATAGACTGTAGTCAGATTGAAGGGTGCCTAACCACCCCTACCATGTCTTAGACTGAGTTGCTTAGGCGAGAGATGGATATCTCGGCATTTTCAACTTCTGGGTTGACGGGTGAATGTCACACCCCCACCCTGGATCACATAGGGCGAGCAGCGGATCGGCCACCAAGACCTTAACCAACCATCCCTGTGCAGCGGACCGGCCACCAAGACCTTAACCAACCATCCATGTGCATAATTAATACAAAATACAGTGGAAGACAAATAATAAAGTGATCATTTTCACCGATCTAATGAATACCAGAGAAAAAAACTAACATCACCGACATTATTACTAAACTCATGTAAAATAATAATTAATCCATAAGGTTCACTACTCTAAGCAAAAACAACATTGTTCTCAAAACAATCGAATACTTGTCTCAAAACTATTAAAAATATTTATTCCTGAAGACCTATAATAAAATAAATTTTCGATTCTTCTAATCCCCTGTCTATCCGAGGATTTACTCCTCTTCCTGATTCTCACATGAAAAATGTTAAATATTTGGGTGAGCACAAAGGCCCGTGAGTAGCAACCACCTCTAATTAGGTTTGAAAATAAATCTCACATTTCATATACACATAAATAAACTTTATTACATACATAAATACAATAAATTGTACCTCAATCCTTTTCACATAACCATGTAAACAAAATAATCTCATGATCATAATAACTTTATAAAAGAAAAGACATTTATAGCTCAAAACACTCACACACACATTCAATCTCAAATACACTTGTCAAATCATGTTTGTTACCACTAGCCTGATAATTAACCTCATCTCTTGTCATCACTAGCCTGATGACTAACCCCGTCTTTTGTTTTCACTAGCCTGATAACTGACCCCTATGTGCACATCCATATACCGACCACGCCGGTATATAATCTCGTTACCATTTAGACCTGGTAATCCAGTCCCCTTATCATAAAACATGATTTCAACACACACTAAAACTGTTGTTTTAGTTCCATCGCACACAAAATATCTCTTTCATCACCAAAATCATTTAAGCAATAATATAAAATCATCTCATAAGTTTTACAAATTCACATGTATAACAATTCACAATTACAAAAACATTTAATTGCAACCCCAAACATCAACATATATCATATATATGAAAAATTCACACACACGCAACCACAAATTTAATATAGAAAATCCTCCCAAAAGAAGTAATAAACTACTTACCTTGATTTCCAAAATTCAACTCAAAATACTTTTTCTCAACTTCAATGCAATCACCACCTAATTCAAAATAACATGTAACGATCAATCCCTATTTTTAACTTCGTCATTTCGTGATTCTATATTTAATTTACGTACTTTCTACTCTTTGATATATACTTAATATATCTTTTACATATAAACATCCTTTCTAATACGAGGGAATAGGATATGGAAGTATTCTAGGTTGTTTAGAAAAAGTTTCAAAAATTTTGGGGTCAAATTAATTTTTGAAACTTTTGGGGTCAAATTATAATTTTCTTAAAAACGAATTTTCTGTCTTCGGGGCTGCCATAAATTTTTTAGAATTCTGTTCTTACAACTTACCAAGTAAAAAAAGTACTTAAAATTAAATTCAGAAGAATAAAGGGGTCAAAATAAAATTCTTTAAAATTAAAGGGGAGCTTTCTATAATTTCTGAATTGATCTTCTTCTACCTACGGTCATCCAGGTTGTTTGTTCTGCCACAACAATTTCAAACCCTTTTCTTTTCTTTTCTTTTTCAACCTATTGATTAGCCAACTATCAGTTTAAATTCAATCTAATAAATTTCAATAATAATAAACGATTATCATAAAATTCATTCTGTATATGTGTATATATACATATTACGCAATATCATTATCATCAACTTAATATCATGTGATTGAATAAACTATAAAACCCATAAAATAAATAAAAAACTCACATTTGAAGGACTTAATCCACTTGTTTTCTTCCTCCTTCTTTCTTTTCTCTCTCTTTCCCTCTTTCACGTTATTTTTTTCTTCTTTGTTCATAGGACAGCCTCCTCCATAAGCTTTCTCACAAAAAGACCCTACAACCTAATTATATTTTTATATATATAAAGGTTTGATCTATCCAACAATACTACCTTATTTAAATTACATGTATAAGAGTCCTAATAGGTCTCTAGGTAAGACTTTTTGTTAGAAATATATTAGTCTTTTTTTAAAAAAAAATTATTTTTATCCTTATATATATATATAATTACTCCTAGGTAGCCAATGCACCAAAATAATATAATAATTTTTTTTTATGGGTAATTACAGTGAATGTTCTACTCCCGTGGGGATACAAGTAATGGATGAGTCTAAACAGTACTTGTACACTCACCAACAACTGGCTCCCCAACACTGTGTTTCTAGCTGCTCGTAAATAGCGTAAGCGATGATTCATTAGGTAGAAGAACTCCTCCTCTAAGCCCAATGATAATCCAGAGTTTTAATTACCGTTCTCGAACTATAATTTATGGTTAAAGATGAAGTCTGTACATTGAACATTGCAGATAAGTTCAAACTTATAGGCATTATGGATGTGAGTATGTATGTCAGTCTACAGCCTCAATGAATGACATTAAAGCATTGTGTAGTTATAATGACTCACATTTTACCAATATGTAGTTACAATGACTGATATTGAATCAGTGTGTAGTCACAATGAATGATATTGATGCAATTGTCATGTTTTAACTGTTTCTTGTTCACTATCCCACAGGAATGAAAAA